GAAATTTAGGTCTCCTACTCCTCCCATCATCTTGCTCCTCTGCCTCATTAATATCTCTTAAAGGGTAATTTAGGTTTCATCTTTCTGCTTTGGCTCAGCCACCACACTTCCCTCAGTTTGCACCTCTTAAATATTTGTTAAAATCACTCATCCATTAGACTCCTATTCTCTATTTCCTTATAGGTTTATACCCTTTAGAATATTTTACCATCATTTTAGTGGCATTTACAAAGGAGAGGGGATAATGCATGTAATCAATCAAATGAATTGTGCATTTTTGTCAAAATCATACAAAAAGGAATACTGTCAGGTAGTAAGAATGGGTGTAATCTGGTTCTATGGGGTAATCCCTAGCACTTCCTGCCTCTCTGCTTTATTCACACTTAGTTTTGGGTCATTTTTTGACCCCATCCTGTTGTCCTTATTTTCTCCAGTGTTTTAATTTACATCGATTATTTTGCAGAGTATCAAAGTAAGCTGGCTGCCTCCTCCGTCAGGCACACAAAATGGATTTATTACCGGTTATAAAATTCGACACAGAAAGACGACCCGCAGGGGTGAGATGGAAACATTGGAGCCCAACAACCTCTGGTACCTCTTCACAGGTCAGTGTTCACACGGTGTAGTGTTGCAAGGTTTTGATGAATTAAATGCTTTAGGAATAAAATATACTCTCACTTCAAGGGAACACCTTTTTTTTGTTTGTTTCCTGACAGGTGACGTTTATTGGTCTGAACAAAAATAACCTTTACATTTTTAACTCGATATTCTCTATAATGCTTTCAGTACATATTTTGCTTCTGGATCATCATCTTAATAAATGGATCAGATTTTTTTTATCCATATTAGCTTCTCAGCATTGCTGATTCAACAACAGCTCCTCTTGTCAAATAACTTTTAACATTTTAACTAATAACCTTAAAAAGCCATCTAATCAAATAGTTCCAAGTTTAAGTCACTTCAATCCCTCCTTCCCCTAATCTCCAGCGGTGAGGATGGGGTTGGAAAATGTGGAGAATGGTAGTTTGGGAAATAAGCAGATTATTCTACTTTCCATAAATATAAAAGTAAATTCACTTTTGTAGCAATATTGGTGGAACTCATAGTAAGTCATGCTTCTTTATGAACACTGGACCCAGTTTCTGTGCAGTATTTAGAGAATATGTATTTTATTTTATAAAATGAATAATCATGTGTTTATTTTAACTATTGGAACCCTTAATTCACGTCAGGCCAGGTTCCTAGAAAACAGAGTCTGAGGTATGCTTTCAAGGTAATGCCTCTTGGGGGGTGCAAGCCTAGGAAAGCACCAGTGAGGGAACAAAGAAAGTGAGCAGGGGAGAAGAGAAATCAATGATGGTGGCATATCATTGAGCTGGACACAAGTTTAGAGAAAGCACAGAGTTTGCTCAGCCTCCCCGGGGTGTCTCCTGAGAGGCCACCTGAAGTACTATGTATCACAATCAGTGGCTGGATAGGAAGCATGTCATTGGTCAAAGTCCACCAGTAGGCTGTTATCTATTCTGTATCTCCAAACAGCACCTGAGAAGTCAGAGCATACAGTGAGTATGCAAACACGGAATTCTCTCCTTGTCTGTAAATACTTTATATGGTGGTTGCTTAGTCTAAGGTAGCAACAGCACTCAAAAGGGCTTTATAGCTCTAACAAGAGCATGAACTATTGCCAGGAACTTGGAAAGCAAATCATATAGCAGTGGCTCATGATAAGAACTGGTGGGTGAAGTTGAGCAATCTGGAATGGAACATAAACTGGGTCCAGGAAAATATACAAACTCAAACTCATAACTTACAGCTAGTAAGAAAATTATCACTGTGAATGAGAAGAGAAGAAAGTAACTCCTTATTTACTCCTTTGTCTATACCACATACTCAGTAAATTTCCATTTGAAATCATAGCATGTACACACACACACAACACACATTTTAAGCTACTTGTTTAGCCCACACTCTGAGACTTGGTCAAAACCTGTTTTTTTCCCCTCATGTTTTTTTTTTTTTTTTCTTTTATGCCAATACAATTTTAGCATAATGGTGAGAATGCTTCCAAGGTAGGTTGTCAAAAATCACATTACTTGTTTTATACCTGGATAAAATCTCTTAGGCAGATATTATTGCCTATAAGCAGAAGTTATGGCACTCTACCACATCATTTAAAAAGCTTAAGAAAAGCCAAGATCCTATGTCTTTTTTCCTGATGAAATTATGGGAAGAAGGTAACGATAACTGAAGTTGAGGTGAGGCATATGGGCTCAATGGGATACTTAGTACAACATGTAGTTTCTTTTGAAAGAAATCACCAAGATTGAAAAAAATCTTGCTGAAAAGTTTTTAGTATAATTCCTAAGATATCATATTAGACTAGAAGAAGAGCCTCTAAGGATAATTATATCCAAGCCTTTTCCCCCCACTTTTATGTCGCTGTGTAAGTTTAAGGTATACAACGTAATGGTTTGAATTTTGTTTATTGTGAAATGACTGCCCCTGTCAGTTTAGTTAGCAGCCATTATATCAGATAGATACAATAAAAAGAAAAAGAAAAAAATTTCCTTGTTTTGGGAACTCTTAGGATCTACTTTCTTAAAATTTTGATCTATATCATACAAATGTGGAATGCTTCATGAATTTGCAAGTCATCCTCATATAGGAGCTGTGCTAATCTTCTCTGTATCACTCCAGTTTTAGTATATGTGCTCCTGGAGCAAGCACCATGCCTTATTTTTTAGTAGATATTGGCATTTGAAGCCCTGAAACCTTTTTTTTTAATTTATTTTCCTTCTCAAATGAAAAAGGTTAAAAACATAAAATAAAATTTTTATACAATAATTAATTAAAGGATGAGTGTTCCAATTGAAAAAACTAAGGATAGGATACTCAATTTATAGAACTATAAATAGCCAATATGCATGATAAAATGTTCAAACTCATTAGTAGAGAAATGCAAATTGAAAGAAAAATGAGTTAGCATTTTCTTTTGATTAAAGTAATAAAGATATAAATGAATGATAATACCCTGTTCTGGAAAGCATACGAGAGAAATAATGAATACTCATATACTGCTGTGGCCCAGAAGATTCTAGAATCTCTCTGGAAAGCAATATGGAGATATGTGTTATAAACAGGTATAAATACATGTGTGTGAGAGAGAGAGTGAGAGAAAGAGAGAGAGAACCTCATAGATGTATGATCTAAGTTTTCTACTAGGAATTCCAATTCTTCAGCCATATTTTCTGCAAAGTTTTTAACAATAAACATGTTCACTGCACTGTTACTTTAAGCAAATTATAAGAAAAAAAGACCTCAAGTATCCAAATATAGGCAGTTACCTAAAAAATTTTGTCAAAATTCATATCATGGAATACTGTATATCTATTGAAATGATACAATGTAAAAATACTAAATCACATATTAAATATTTAAAAAATACTGTTACATGAATAACTAAACTTCAAATCAACATTAATGTGTGAGTCCATATTTATAAATAAAAAATATGAATTTGTAGAAAAATATTTAGAGTAATATATGCATACCAAAATATTGATGCTGATTGTTACTTACATTTGTAACAACAGTAAAATATGTATTTTAAAATTGTATATATAAAGTGAAAAACAAAAATTCAAGCCTCTAATGTCATATTATGACTTCTGGTTATCAAAATTGCAAATTCCTCCCAGTAAAGCCAGTTCTATGCCCACTGAACAGCTAAATGGTGAACAGTCCAGAAAATAAAGAATAGTAGCCACACGGCCAAAAAAACTGCTGATATGACTGTTTAGTATTTATGATATATATGGCAAATGGAATTTAATACATTCAACTCAGTATTATCAAACAAAGATTATCAAAATTTACCTAAATATACAAACATTTAGGACCTTCACTCTACAGAAAGTGAAATCACTTAAAAAAAAAAGCCAAAAGTCTGAAATAAAAGTGTCAGCAGGGATGGTTCCTTCTGGAGGTTCTGAGAGAAAACTCATCCATGTTTCTCTCCTAACCTCTGGTGGTTGCTGGCAATCCTTGTCATTACTTGGCTTACAGATATGCCTCTCCTATCTCTGCATAAGGATACCAGTCATTGGCTAGACCCCACTCTAAATCTAGGATGGTTTCATCTCAAGATCCTTAACTAATTATATTTATAAAGATGCTACTTCCAAGTAAGGTCTCATTCTGAAGTTCCAGGTATACATGAGTTTTGAGGTAGACACTGTTCAACTCTCTAAAGACTCCTTTATTTTTCCTCTGAAGGACAATCATTTTTAATTATAGTCTCTAATAAACTTTATTCAAAAATAAGTAATTCAGTCCTATATTTTATTTTTATTTTTATTTTTTTTA